AACGGGCACGTGTCCAACGCGGCCGCGGCCACCATATTTTAACACACAACCCCTATCACACCAAGCAATAACACCTGTCTTAGACGGCCACCTTAGTGACTCCATTACGTTTTGTATTAAATTGTGCATTGGCCCCTGGCGTTGTGGGCGAGCCGTCATTATCCAATCACTTGTTGTTGTTAGGTAGGCCTACTCCCTCCAACCGATCATGTTGCTTAGGCCCCTCCCACTGTTGACCAATATCTACCAATTTTCAGCTGCTGGAGAGGTAAGCGTGTGATCCCTCATAACCCGTAAGCCCCGCCCAAAACTCATATATGCGAATCGTAAGTGAGATGAGTGGTCACTGGACCCGGTCTGTAACAAAGTAACAAAGGACGTCAACATGAACTTGTCACAGAAGCGTCGCTCGTTCTCCGAGTGGTGGCGACCCGTGTGTTTGTTTTAATACAGCACTCGGTCCTCCTCGTCTGATACATTTCGTTTTATTGTCACCCTTGCGCAAAATCAGCAACACAATAGAAATAGCAAACAATACAAATCAACAACAACCACAAAAACAACAATCAATGGGACTTCAGATGGGTTTGTTTTCTTCATCTTGATCAGTCCTGCCTAAGACGGCCACCTGTCCTATACGCATAATACGGCCACTTTTCTCCTTGACAATGGGTGGCCGTCTTACACAGGTTTGACTGTATTTAACAGTACATTTAGTACGTTGTATTTTATCAGTAATATCAACATTTAAATTTAACCTGTTGTAGTTACTCTCAGTATATTTACTATGAGCATGGCTCTAATCTTTCCTGCCTTTTGAATTTTTAGCCACCCATGGTTCTGTTATATTCATGTGTTCTATTTGTCGCTTACGTCCGACTATACTCTTACCTCGCTCAGAAGCGAGGCCGGCGAAAACGATATTTGCCCACTGATGTTATACAGTGAGAATTTTACCAAGGATGTGACTGCTGGTTTAGCGAGAGGCACTCGTCTGACGGAATCTGGACCCAAAATACTACCCCCCTCCCTCTCCTCTTTTCCATACTCACCCCAGCCAGACATCATTTCACTAAGTTCACTGTTATTAGCATTTGGTAAAGTTCCCAACTTAACTCTTTAAACCCTGAGTTTTGTCCACTGTTTCCCGCTGTTTTTTTCTAGTCACCTAAACCTGGTGCACTGTGTATCATTATAACCCCAAAGGCTTGCCTCAAACTTCTACATTGCGAAAACAAAGGCTAAGTCATTACTAAATAACTTGGATTGGGAATAGTACGAAGAACAAGAAGAAACTAGCACTTAATGAAACGCAACAGTTGTCACTTGTATCGGACGCTCCCAGCGCCTGATGGGGAACAGGGTTATTACCGCCGGACACTCAGCGTCCGATGGAGTTTCATGAGTTAAAATGTTACGAGTAGTGTGACAAAGATCATTTAATTATAATGACAATATGTTGTATGCTAGCTTTGCTCAGTGCGTGCACGTCAAGTATGCTGTATTGTATCTGATCCTAGACTTGATTTGCTAAATGGTACGGCATCATATAATGTTTCTTATTTGAGCTCTCTATCATTTTGTGGGCGTATTACATATGTAACAATATTTTAAGGCTCTGAATAGCTTATTTAGTGTGTGTGTGTTTGCGTGCATGTGTGTGTGTGTGCGTGTGTGTGTATGGGAGGAGATAGTGAAAATGTAGGTGTGTATATATATATATATATATATATATATATATATGTATATATATCACTAGCTGGGCCCCCTTTCGATGAAAGGGATGATCGGTACATTAACATCAACTGAAAGTCATTGGCCTACTAGATCTACCTCGACATTTGCGAGTGCGAGGGGTTCCAACTTCCAACTGCAGAACGTTGTTTTCTTTTCGGCATGATCAGGCGCCATCTAGATCTAGATCTAGATTCTAATCTAAGACCTGATGACGTTGTTCCCGGTAGCAAGAAAAAGAATTTGACAAAGGAGTCCAGAAAAAGCGGTGATGGGCATCAAACGAAAGGATCACAGTCGAATTTAGCACCAAGTAAAAAAAGCGAACATGAGGCTAGATCTATACGGGTTGTACACCTAAAATAGTGTTCAGTATTGCGCGACAATGCGCGACAGTATCGAATGGAAGTACGACTTGAAATAAACAAACCTGGGGGATTTTCTAAAATTACAGAGACAGAAGCGTCGGCACAAAAGAGATGGGCGAAATAAAGAAATTTAGCTTTTTGCAGCAAAACTGTGGCAAGACTGATAAAACGAAGGGCGTCATGATCATGATCTGGAGAATATTTAAAGAATCTTTTGGCAAAATCCGCATGTGGATCGATGCAGCCATTAAAAAGCCTTTAGAATAGCAAAATTTGACCACCACAAATAGATTATAATAGAAATAGAGAGTATATGTGTCTGTGTGGCGAGGGGGAGGGGGTCCAATGTGAGTCAAGAAATCAAACAAGAGCTGTTTGATATTTTTTGCGGGATCTCAGTCAAATCTGGGGGCAACATGCTTTGACATGTGACGTAGAATGACTTAAAAATTTGCTGCCGCAAAATTTTTTAAATAATTATGGCTGCTAAAAACTGATTTCATTTCGGAATCAGCTATCGAAATAAACAAAAGAGTTTGTGGGGAAGCTGATTTGATGCGATATTATGTCAACTTTAGTAATATTATTTTATAATGGATTGTTGTGAGGTGAAGTTGTGTATCAAGGTCATTTGGTGTGTGGCGCATCTGCAGTCAAGTCAAAGCTTCTACACCATGGCCACCCTTTTCTAAAGACACTGTTCTGCTATTTATTAAAATGTACAGGTCCATCGAATGTCTGTGGAAAATAAAAAATCCAAAGACTGCAGTAATAAATCATAAAGAAATAGGGCATACGATGAACTTTTGTTGGTTTTTTTTTTCAAAAAATTTTATCAACATTGCAATGAAAGACTTAATGTGATTAGAAAAATAAAGAAAAAACGAAAAAAGCCGGAGATTTTTTTTTTTAGCTATCTGGGGCTTGATTGATGATGTCTACCTCTGCAAGGTTTGTGTTGGTGAATATTATTTTGTCTTTTGTTCAAATGAGCATTTTAAAATAAATTTTACTAAGCAGCTGCACGTAGAGTGCAAACAAATCGCTATTGTCGCAAAGAGACATGGCGGCTTATGACGAGGAATCTCCCTAGCGAAAGAAAACTGGACGTTGTGTGTAGTCAGGGCATTGGTCTGATTACTTTTGACTTGCAAACTGTTCACTTTTTGATATTGGCAGAATTTGAATATAAAAATGCTTTTGAAGTTCTATAATTCAGGAAAGAACATTGAGGTTGGGAATAGCTCAGAAAATTCGGGTGAAAATTTCAGATAGCTTACAGAAAACAGCGTGACATTTTTAAAAAATCTGCTGTTTTTCAACCCCTGGCTTTTTTCATACAATCTGAACCCTGGGGCTGCCTCTCACTCACGTGTGAATGGATGAACTACGGACAGGTGATGTCCTGACTTCTACTTTATATTGAACAGTTTGGTTGGAACAGGATGAGACTGAGAGCTGGGCTAAGAGAAGAGGGTGTGCCCCCGAAAAAAACATACTTTGCACTTTCAGTTTGGCAAATATATATATTTTTTTTCATATTATAACATGTGTCAATGTTTCTTTCCCAATCTGTCAACAGCAGCAAAAAGGGAAATAAACAGAGGAAGCTTTCAGCATGAACTATTTATACAGACATGTGGAAGAACTGTACCTATTGATGTTGTCATGGTTGAAGGCATGGTAAGTTTTAAAACTTCTTTTTTGTAGTTTTATGGTAATGATAGCATACCATTTAAGTCAGCATTCTTCAAGGGCTTCTAATTGGCTTGGGTGATAGAGAGCTGAGAGGGAGAACAATCAATATCAAACGTGTTCAAGATGGAATCACAAGGGAGCCAGAAAAAAAAAAAATTCCGACCGAGACATTTTTTGTCTCAGACAGGGAAATTGGAGGGGGGGGGGGTTCAAGGGTCACCTGTCAGGTTGGCAAGCAGTGGTCACATCTTCTCACCTCCCAAATGCTATCCTAGCCCCTCTGATAATGGCATGGGTCAGTCTTTCTTATCCATTGCCAACAGTGGGTGCATCTCATACATGTATGACTTGGTTTGACAAATAAAAAGCAAAAATGAGATTGAACATCTCTCTTGTTTCCACCCTTAACCCCTCCATTGATGTAGTAAGCGAAAACAACCAATGCCACCCTCCCCTTGCAAGTAATGATAATTCAAAGAACTTCTTTCTTGGCTGGCCACATGAACAGGGTGGCAGGCAGTGGTCAAATTGATTTCATACTTCTAGCTACCCAGGAAAGTTTCTGTGCTGGAGCGCCATCCCAACACTTTTACAAGATATGGGGAGAATTCACACCCTGATTATCTCATCTGCCCTGCTGAGGGCTCGCATGGTTAATAGATACTCCCAAACTGCCCCC